ACTTTGTTAACCTAATTTTGTCTTTACCGCTGTTTAGTGACTTTTGATACAATGATGTTCAGCGAAATTTGGGTTTAAGGTGTACAGCGACTTTAGGAATACTAGTGCACAGATACTTTTGAATTAGTCGTGTGTAACGACTTTTGTAAATTTCTGGTGTACAGGCTATTTTGTTTCCTAGTTGCGACTATAACTTATGGCGTTTTATTGTGAACAGGTGTTTTGGAAAGTTGATTCTGTTCATCGACTTTTGGAGCTGACTGTACCTACCTATAAATAAACTTATTAGGAAATAATAAGATGTAAATTGGGAATATGTTTATCCTGCAAATGGGTCTATCTGTTCTTAGCATATTCCGCAAAAAAATTCATGCGTGTTATAACGAAACAATATTTTGATCTAAAGGTAGATGCTGAATCCCCTACAAAGTTCATGCATTTCGGTCAATTGGTGTCCTTAATTAACGTATGCCCATTTGAATTTGTCAAGCCAGTGCGTACGAGAGTAGAGCGCCGACTCTACATACCTGTTTTATTACCTAAGCAATCGCGATTCTGTTGCCTACGTAGTGCCTACTATTACATCGTTCTATTGCTTATACTGTAAATCCAATTATAACTACAGAAAAAATAAATCGTATTGCTGAGATTTTAGTTCACAGTGGTAGAAAAAGAGGTTATAATGTAAAAAAAAGTCGCCAAGAAGTGTTCGCGTAATTTCGGAACAAAAATGAATAATTAACATACTCAAATGAACAAAACGTACTCGTCTTCAACGGGTGTGTAGGGGAACGATGTCTCCTGCACTTTCGGCGGCGGACTGCTCTCCGGCTCCTCTTGTAGGGGACTCTCGTAAATTAGGGTCTCCACCATCGACCCCTTCGAACTGCCAAACGACACCCTAAAAAAAAAGAAATAACATTAATAATGAAAATACTCACCAAAATGTTATTGAGTTTTTAAACTATAGCATTCGTCGTTACCTAAATTTGAAATATTTAATAGGTCTCACCTATTGAGCATTTAATCTTTTGGTACTTATGACTCAATATTAATGTCGGTAATAGTGTAAATATAATTAAATGTTTCTTTTTCTAGGATAAAATTATCTGTTGAGTCTCAGTGACATCCCCAATTTACTTGTCACACACGTGTGTGTGACTTATTCATCACAATATTAAACTTCCCGCGTGTTACTGCGTCGACATTTACACATTAATGGTTCCATTTCCGATGTATTGATTACTCTGATCAAAATAAATCGTTAGGTAGCTACTTCTATACATACGGTATATAAATTAGGTGATAAAATATTTATTCATCTCAAGATCCTGTCAACAGCATAGGAATAATGCGTGTCTACCCTCGAAATGAGTACCTATAACCATAATATCTTCAAGCAGACTGAACAAACTTCAATGGTTCACAAAGTTCAGTTCAGTAACGCCCGAGTTAAATGACTGATTCTAATCTAAAATCTTTGGTTCGATCTCAATTTTTTACAGCAGCTCTATACCTACAACTAATGCGCAAAATCGATACAAATATTTTAGATTGAGATCAAAAATCAGTCATTAATTTAGTTTACCTTCGTTAAAATTCCATTTTTTATCCAATTTCATTACTGAAACCTCCAATTTTTAAAGTAGAGTAATATAAATATCGGTAGATACTTGAAATGTTACCTACCAGCAGTGAAAGTCATATCAACTATTAGACATATCGAAGTCAGGAAATTGTCTTGCTTCATATTATTATTTGTATGATGGCCTCCGATATCGACCGACATTGAGATAAAATCCGATATTATAAAGATATTTCATCAACCACAACGTTCCAGTCTCCGTTTAACTGCTTAGATTTGACTGGCATTAACTGACATTTCCTTGACAGTGACATTGTTTTAGTTTATTGCGGCAAGAAAAAAATGTTTATTGGAGGTCGTTCCTCTTAAACGACAATGCGAAATCGTAAACTCTCAGTTAGCAAGTACGCTACTAAACTCTTAAATTTAATCTACAGTTATGTAGGCACTTGGAATGTGCAGTAGCATGTAAAATGGTCAGCGCTTTATCGTATAGCTATATAGTTAGCATGTATGCGCAATTTGTAACAAGAACAAGTCTAATAAAACCTCTTTCTTTTAATGTCTTATATTATCAGATTTTATTATTGTGTTTGTAACGAGCCTATTATTTTGATGTCTTGCGTCAGAGACAAGCAGTACTTGCAAAGATTTTTGTAAATTTAATATTTTATTTTTTAACCTTCTTGTTTACAAATTGCTGCACTAAAGTTCATCGGTAAGTAAGTTATAATTCGGTATTTTAGTTGTTTGTCATTTAGATAACGAGCAAGTATGCAGGCAGTCCCCGTCAAATTAGATATTTTGTAAAAGATAAAAACCTATGTTATTAAAAACCTATCTATATGGATTTCCTGAGTGCTTGGAATAGATAAAATAAAAATGAAAAATGTTAGGTACCTAATAAAAAGAATCGTGTCATAACATGAGCCATTTCAGGCAACCGATTAATAACTCAGGCAATGGAGTTGGGGGTTAGATACAGGTATAGGCGCAATAATGTACTGTGGCTTTGGTCTTGATTATGAGAAGGAACGGGGCAGTGACATTTTGACAGTCCCTCTCGCCCCACCCATGGTGTTAGGAACAATGTAATGACTTTCCCCCTCAAAAAAAAAAGAGAAAGAGTAGATATATGTCTGAGCGGAGAGTGGGGTACCTAATTATTCTAGTTACTCAATATCAGTTGAAATTAAAAACTTTCTAATAGTCCTTTTGGTAGGTAAGTAGGTATGCAGCACAATGGTCACGTATTTTTTACGTTCAACGTTCTACAGTTCCGGATCCGCGGCTTAGCTCAGTGCTACTTAACATTCTTAGTGAAGTCTGCCCCACTTTAAATATAACTGACACTAGCCTTTAGCCTTTAGCATTCCTTTGCTTTGGTAGGTCGCATGCAATTATGTAAGTAGATTTGTAATACTTGATTTCATTGCACTGCATTAATATTAAACTTGCCTAAACTGTTGAGACATTTTAAGAGTAACATAAGGAAGGTGTTGAAATGTAGACGTGTATAATATGTCTATGTCTGGTGTCTAAAAACATTCACAAATGGGATCACGATCAAAAACTGTATCGCATCTGATAAGTTGTTTTTAAACATTATTTTATGGGATTGGTCGGCAAACGTACGAGCGTATTACCTAATGGTAAGCAATCATCGCCGCCCATGGAGGAAGGTTTTAGAGATTTAGGGATTGGGGAGGGATTGAGGGACGGGAAGGTTTGGGCCTCAGGTAACTTCACAAACACAGGTAAACACAAGGCTGTAGTTGTTTCACGCAAGTTTTCTGTGTTAATCTGCACTTCAGAACAAGCAAATAGCTTCACCACAGGCCTGTCCGACGGACTGACACTTTTTAACTTTTTATTGTTTTATTTGAGGTTCAAAAGTGTATTCAATTGTCAAATAAAAAAATGATTTGACTTTGATTTAGATTATATACTTATTTAAACTTCCTTGTACGGGAGTTTCTAACCAAGTACCTAAAAGGTATGTACCTAGTCGCCAACTTGACCTAAAACATTTCGTCTGACCTAGGAACTAAAATAGAGATGATACGCAGTCGTGTAGGTCGTTGGTAGATTTACTTCCACCAGTAAACTAACAAGCTAGTTTAATTCGTGAAGATGTTTTCGCACTTATCTACCGCTGACCCGACTCTCAATTCCCTAATATAATCGTCAATTTCGTTGTACGAGTATCACTTCTATAATTTTGTTTTTTATAATACTGGCTTCGTTTGGTTTTACAAAACTTTGTGTCTATCTAACGAAAAACGCTAGAGTTCAGGGGGTAAACTTTTCCTTCATTCTCTTTAAAAAAATATGGTTTCCCGTCACTTAGTCATTTTCTCTTGTGCCGTATGTGCGTTAACATAAGACACCCAGACCTGGAACAGCAATTTGTGGATCCCACATAGAGATGTTCGAGAGTCGAATGAGTCGATCGACAAGATGCACGGCAGACGGCAGCACGGTTGCCCAACCACCAACTGTGCATTCGTGGGGTAAGGAGATAGTATCTACGATCTGTACGCCACAAAAAAACAGTTAGGTACTAAAATATATTTTTTGAACTCTTAAGTTGTTTAAAATAAGATAACTTATGTGACTTTCACGATTTACCTACTGTGTTGATATATTCATGTCTGATAACGAATGAATTGTTTATAGAGGAAGGACTAATTCAGTGAAATTACTCTTAAATTGAAACAATCGGATCACTTAGGCTGTATTTTGTATCTGCCATAAATATCTCTATGACCTACAGCGGTTTAAATAAACCATCAATTAATCAGCATCAGTTAGAATGAAAATATACCTGTTAAACAATTATTCTTATCAAATTCTAAATCGTTTATACAATTACCTTATCTGCATACTCTTAATTGAACATTTATTAGATTACAGTTGATCGGTCATATCATCAATTAATTTTTATGATCGTGTTCGTTAAATATTGTTCTGAAACTATTGTCCAAATAATAGGTGCCAGAAAAGATTGCAACATTATTGTAATGTGCTGAATGTGCAAATAAATGCTAGATACGTTATCCTAGACTGTTGTTTACTCCAAAGGGAGGTGTCATATATACGCGTGCTAAAACTGATCCTTCCCAGTGTATAAAATACATATGTATACCTATAGATAAACAGAATCCTTTAAACACCATGGACTACGGACACTGTTGACAGGTTTACGTACACTTTACTCTAGTGCTCTCATGCCTCATTTTACATTTACCACTGGAATCAAACGTCGTCACTTGAACATAGACGTAGTGTTGGCATCGTGCCCGACTCACTCAGATTACTACCTTGTTTTGCTCCTGCAGTGAGATCATGTTCTTTTCCTTTTATAGATAGAACCTCGTTTAATAATTTCGACAACTGTCTTTATAGGTGAACAATGGGGACTGAACACAAAGTTGTTAAGTATGACCCAAACACGGAGGCGTTCCAAATGCGAGCGCAGTGGAAGAAACAGGAAAACTGCAGACAACAGTGGTTCGAAAGATGGAGCTGGTTGCTCGAAGAAAGAAAGTAAGCAATTAATATAACTTTTTATCATAAATAGGCATGCTGTATGTTATATTTTTTGGCATAACATTCTTACATAAGTAATGAATTTGTAAGTATTTGAAACAAACACTTCCACAAACATAAGATGGCATAACATTGTGCAAAATAAGATGACTACAGTTAATGACTGTAAACTAGATGCTTTTACGTAGGTCACTCAATTACGTAGTCATAACAGAACGCAGCCACTCTGAGTAAGTGCTCTACTGCAGTTAAAGTAAGTAGTTTCCTGGCTTTCGACAAACTTTTATTCAGTACCTACGTTTGAACGTGGTCAAAGTAAGTCGGAGATAGTAATTAAAGCTTTTTAATATCTCTGAGTGCGCGTTGCAAGTAAAGGAACAAGTATCAACGTATTCCATTTCAATGCTTTGCGTAATTTGAGCGCTTTACCCGTGACATTGTTTGTGACTTTTTCTGACGTTCCCGTGGGAATTTACTTTACTTTCTCTCTTACATTTTTTTTATTGTGCTATGCTACTCCTAATGCTGATATCAGCATTATCGTGATGTTAGCTAGTACACACAGCGTATGTATGTATTAAATACAACATAATATGTACCTAGTGAACGATAAATACGCTGTGAAAAGAAAAAATCTTCTATACTTAATTGGTTTTATGGCCTGCAACAAAAGCAAGCAATATCGTAAAGCTTTATAATATTAGTTTTCGCTGTAATTGCTTGGGAATGAACGTCTGCTTCGATCCTGAGCTAATCTATGCTGCACCTTCGTGAGCAAACAAATATTGTGGTACCATGTTTATTACAAAGTTGCTATTCCACAAAATGTACTAATAATTGCATTTGCGACGAACTCTTTGTTGACGAAGTCAGGCTGGCTTAAAGCTTTCGATTCCGCTGTGCAACGCGATGATAACGTTTTAATCCTAATTCAGTTTGTGTTCATGAACGCTTATGACGAAACCGGCGAGCGTAAGACAAATAAATCAATAAATGGGCACGCTCCTAAATTAAAACTTACTTTGTTATCACAGCCCAAATACTCTTTTTAATTCTGTAATTTATAAGTCAGTTTAATATTATTTATATCTGAGAATTGGAATGTTGTTGGTACTGAAATACCTAACCAAGTACCCACCTACTTTACTTTCAGCTCATTGATGCTGCATTCGTATTTTGATCAAAGTCATCGAAAGCGCAAAAAATATTCAAGTTATCTTAGCTCGTATTTTTCCAAGAAATTGTTTTTTGTGCACGTTCGTACCTAGAAATATTTTATCTTCGTTTAAGATTGTGAGAGTTCCTTGATCTCAGTTGTTCATAAAAAATGTCAAAGGTAGCTACTGGTTGTGAATTGTGTGTGTATGTTCACAGCATATTACATACCTACTTTAAATTCTAAAATTAGTCGTTCAACTAAATAAAATAGTTTTGCTCATAAATAAAGTTATGTCTCAAACTCAGTTCGTGTCAGATTTAATTATTGGTTATAGTAAGTAAATAACGTTCTGTGTTGGCTTCTAAATTAGCTGGTCTACAAATACTGTCGCCTGTCAGTGCTGCAACACGGCTTCTGCCGTCAATACTACATCAAAGCGAAAGAATTCGCCACGGAGATCAAATTTATCGTGAGCGCTGGAGTTTCATGCGAAACCAATGTCGAACACGACCGTTCCCAGTTCACAAATGGTGCTCTAATACACGAAATTACTGTAAAAAAAACTATTTGAATGCTTGAGAAAATGTTGACCTTTCAGTAGGTATCGTTGTTGCTTTTAAAAAGGCACGTTAAAATATTTTCCTACGTATATATATATTGATAGAGTTAATAATAATAATGCATCTGATATCCTCTTATGTAACTCATTTATTTAATGGCCCTTCATCTTTTCGTATGTGTAACAAGCGGTTAGTATAAGAATATACATTACCTACATAGGTCGTTATTAAATCCACCATCTTACATTTAAACAGAGTAACATGGATTGTAACCGGTGGCTGTGATATAACAGCTTACGTAATCAATATAATACGTATTTATGGCTCGTGTCCGACATAGGTCTATACTTAGGTAGATAACTATTATGAACTTACCACTATATGGCAGCTGGATATCGATCGCTTTTGCTACCTAACCTTGGAAAATGAACAAATTGCTTTTTTAAAATATCTTACTTTTACACTATACTTTGCGATCACAGAATCTATTCTGGACTTAGGGATCTACAGACTCTACAGTGCTAGATTTATTTTCACCGTTATTAGATAGATAATATTGTTAGATTATTAAAGATGATCGATATTGACTACAAGGAAATGTATGACATCTATTTAAAAACGGTATAATAAAAAATAGCTGTTTGTTATTTTTTAAAGTGATGTCATCTTTCCTCTTTCAGGCAAGCATTAGCACAAGCTGATGCTATTCGACAAGAAGCATCAGCTGCAACACGGTCACAAATCGCAATAAAACCAGACGAAGGGAAATCCCTGAAACCAGTACCACTGACTTCCACGGGAGTCATAGGATGGCTAGCTAGCAGGTTGGTAAAAATGCTAATCTTCCTTCTTAAATTACTGAGGATGCAGCAATTCTTCTTCTTGTAGCTATTCATGAGAATCTTTGTGGTAGTCTCTAATTAAGTATTTATGTCCTCTGACTTCTCAGACAATCCATCAGCTAGTAGGTCGCTAAATTTTCATTTCCATAAACGATTTAAGTATTTGAAAAACCAAAAAGTCAAGCAATAACAAAAGACCGACATGAATTCATCGCATTCATAAAAGTTAAATCAAACATCAATTGTGTCTGTCCGTTTTAAAATCCCAGATCTAATTCACTTTTTAATTAAACCTCTGCAAAAGGACGGGAAGCGCCTTTCAGAGTGTCATGCACGTCATGTATAGAGCCCGGTAGAAGGCACGCTTGCAATCTCCGTGAAAGGCTGCCGTGAAAATAATCAGCTGTCGGCCTCGTGTACAAGTGTGCCTATTCTCTACGTGTAAAGCCACTTTAAACGGCATTTGTGGAGAACAAACTGTACAAGTGACATCGTCCTCTGCGTAGCCCCACACCTAGCGCCAGTTGTTGCGTAGATACTTTTTTATACAAGCTAAACCTCATGCAAAAATATCGCCTATTCTAAAATTAATATTCCTTTTACAGACCCGATTGTCGCTTAGAAATTTACACATCGTGGTGTGCGAAGCCACGTTTAAGACTACCCGATGCCTGGGACGATCCAAACTATATGGGCAAAAATAAAAAATAAACACATCTTTCATTATAATACGATAGTGTCTTAAAACGTTTCTTAGTATAATAAATCTGCGCATTTCATTCAAATTGCATGTTTTTATTTACGAATAGTTGTACGAAGAATGCGTTCGTGCCTCATTGTGAGCATACATACCTTACAAGCCATTTGTAGCAATTCACACCACGTAATTGAGTCCAGTGGATAATTGGCAAAGCAATTAAAAATCACAACATTTACATGATTAGCGTATGCCCCAGTGGTTCGCGTTTAAATCTGATAAATAAACGCGTCCCGCAATAAAACTTTAAATGCTAATATTTAGATATAAAGCGTTCGTACATTTTGTATTCAAATATAAATCACTTACGTGATACTCGTATTTAGCTTTATCATGGCCATATCATTTGAAATGATCGCCGAAAATAAATTCCCTTTGATTAGTGCATTGCTCTTGCCTCGATGTTTATTACACTCTACATCCATATTCTCAATAATATTTACATTTCGTATAACGTACCTACAGGTGCAGGTACGTACAGTAACAGTACCTTCCATACCTTCATACCTTGCATAACAACACCTTTATTTAACATAAATTAAATAAATCCAAAAGACTCTTCTAATTGGTACTTGTACCATATTTAAAGGGCTATTAATGTTGATAACACTCCATCAATTCATGTTCCCATGACTATCCATCCAGTCATTTCACTTCCCCGCTCCAATTTTACGCAACGATTATAGATTAGGTTCCGTTGTTTTCCTAATCCATTATGCTCGCTGCGCCATAACAATAATTACTATTTTTTAGATAGATATAAATATGCTGTGATGTAGGTACTTTTATATGAAAATCCACTTTAACTTTTTTAATGACATGTTTATACTTAGCTACATTAAAATATCTTACCTCTTTAGAGTTGTGTGTTTGGTTCCATTTCCAAGTAGCTTATGCTTTGGCTTGTCATGTGCACCCGTAGGCGTGGACGACGATAGAGTGAGATCACTGGCAAAGGAACTAGTGGAGGATTCTTTGGAGATGTTGGTTATGGTAGAGCGGGCGCGCCGCGCGCTTGACTCGGGGCTGCCGGGACTGCCCACCAGCTCCAAAGCCAGCCTCCCCTTGCCAGGCACTGGTGGAGGCTTCTCCTCTACCGGCACCATATACGACAGCATCGCTGTCTACTGTTTTAGCTTTAACCACATGAAATCTTTCGCCGTATTTTGTTCACGTTCAGTTTCAAACTAGTGTCATCATAATAGAGCCGTCCATGTTTACAAACTAGATTTCAAAGCCTTATTATTTTGTCACTCACAGCGTTGCTCCGCGACACCCTGAAGAGATCTGAAAGATAAATGTTATGATAATAAGGCCGGTTGGGAGATCATTAGGTTTGTTTTGTTACACGACAATCAAAGATTGGGGAAAACACATAGCTCTTTTATATAGATATATTCTGTGCAGGGCCCGTCCTCTCGTCTTAAACTACAGCATATATTGTACGTCGGTATAAACTTAACAACGATACATAAACAATCGTTTATCGTAAATAACAAATTGGAAGCGTCGTAATGCCTGCAGTCCGGGCAGTCAATGAGTCGTGAGGATACTGATACTCAACGGTCTCTAACGAGCTAGCGGCTAGTAGCTAGGTCAAGTTCTCATTCTAGATATTTAGATGTAGACTGGAAGCCGTCAGTCTTTATTACTGTGCAACGCGGCCCTAAAACTTGACCTTAGTTTTGCCTTATGAAAACTATTTTATCTTGCTAAAGGTCCACACAAATCTTGTAGAAAAAAAAAATTGCTGATTGTTAGTCCGCAAACACTCGAAAACTACTGGCCCGGTTCGACTAATTTTGGTGTAAAATATTCGTAAAGGAGGGAAGAAGAAAAGATTTAAAAAATCAGAAGACGTAAAAATTTCATGGATATTTCAAATATAACTTTGTTTTTAGCCATTAAATATATAAGAATATGAAATAAATTAGGTTAGTAAGTATGCAATATAAACGCTAAAGATTGTTCCTAAGGCTGGATAGATGTTCGTTACGCTTTCAGGTATAAACTCTGATTGGTTTTGATGAAAATCAGCAAATATTTTAACCGGAATAGCTTCATATCTACTTGAAATATGCTACTTTTCAGCCAGGTGCCGCGGACGAAGCTGCTGGCAGAAGTTAGTTTAAAACATAAATATCAAAGCCGTCATTAGTTTATTGAAATCTGTAACACGATCTCCGAGGAACTTTCTGTAGAAACAGTTCCAGTTCCTAAACCTGCCTACTGTCTCGCTGATAATATAAGTGGCATTCTCATTTTACAATGAAGAAGTCTACCTACGACATTTATGTTTATGTTTTATGCAACGATGACATAAACAGACACATTTGTTTCGCATTAAATATTCTGACCTTGATGGCATTTTTTTACTCCTATCTATCAAAACAGAAGATAATATGTTGTAAGTAATAAAATTTAGGTACTTACGTCTTTTAGTTTCAGTCTAAATTATTCTTAGTACTTTATTTGTTTAAATACTTATATGAATGTACCTTACTAATGGCGATTTCAATTAATTATTTTCAAAGGATTTGAAATTTAAAATACTATCTCAAAGTTAGTTTTTCGAGTTATTATTACGTAAATGTAGCATACATATTTGTTATTTTTATGTACACAATGACTTGGAGTAACGAACGTCATGAACGGAGAATGTTATTATGACTTATTAAAACTTATTGATTTTATATGTATTGGTCCGTGGCTATCGAATGCGTCGCAAGTTGACTTTAATTGATCGTAAAACTATTCCGTGCGTTTCATAGATTCCAACCTTGATCTTGAATGAGCGAGGAGTTTCGCGTGCCACGCTGGTAGGTGCCTACGTAAGCTGCCTAGTCCCAATCTATTTTTATAACTGCAGATAAATACATCGAATCTTATAGTAAAACTCATTTTAGAAATCTCATGAGGCGTTGCTCTTGTATAAACACAAGCTCTGATTAGTCATTTCAGTTTTAAATAATGATTTTTCCTTGTAAACTTTACCTAAATGAGAACGAGATACGAGGGTATAGAAATGCCGAGAAGTGGACTTTGACTATAAATTGACTGGTTGTCAACGCTAAATAAAAAAGCAGTTGATATTTCAATTTAGCCATTACGACATGCAGCGGACATGCACCAATGAGCTCACATCACTATTGTTCCACATCTTGCCTTTGCCAAGGTCAAGCAATAATTACGCACGCATGATTTTATATAATTATCTAAATATAGTGTGTACATCATCTCGTTGGCGCCTGTTCTATGATTTACTATTCACGATTTTGAGTACACATGTGTAGTTTTCTTCTTACTTACACTGCTATACACTGCGGCACAACACTAGGTATGTGCACACATATCTTTGGATTTATCGATATCTCTATAATCATGTTATAGTGTTTGAGATAAGATTAAAGAACAATTTATTATAACGGGACTCAATAATAGTGCTACTTAAGAACCAATATGTTGTTTTTATGAGTAGGTATAATGAGTACTTATTTTGTAGTTCTTGTTTTGTAGTAGGTATAGTCTATTAAGTTCCAATGTATAAGTACAGGTGATCTATGATACGTACCTACAGGTATTCTGTACGTTATGATGGGAGTTCCCGAAATATATCTTTTCCTCTAATTAAGTTTTATCCTTACGTAAAATCTAAACAAAATGTATTCTTAAATTTGAAAAAGAAAGAACTGAACACGAAGCTTTAATTTTCGGGAAGTCTGCCTCTTTATTTTTGGCTTTAATTCAACAAAATACCTAATTCTTGAAATCAGTATTATGGTTTTATTTTTCTTTTGTCTATTTGAGTCCAACATCTTTGCACTGGTTGGCTAGATGCCCAGTATGTTTAATTAACTATGTATTTAATTTGTTCAATGAAGAAACACTTTTGTTCAGGCGTATAACACAGTAGAAGACAATGACTTACCAAATCTGGTTTCTCTTTATAAACAATAGCCTCCAATCCGAGCTGAGCGGTTCACGTTAGGGGATTTCAGCAACTGAAACAAAAATATATCACTAGAGATATAGGTCTATCATTTAGTTATAATAAAAACTTTACAGCTTTATATGCATGGCTTATTGAGAATAGTCACTACTGTTGAGAGCGACCCCAAAAGTGCTGGTGTAATCGGGCAAGGATAGGTTCAAAACGACACAATATTCCAGGTAAGTGAATGATGAAGAAGAAGTTGGTATGTACATACATACAATGCAATTTATTTGGAGGTGGATAAACACTGGTCACATTGAAGAGACTTTGGAAAAAGGAAAAGTAAATCAGCAATAGACACTTTTCTAATGGGGAAAAAGCTTGCGCATACGTTGGCGGTACAGGAACTGGGAAGCCATCTCCTCCTTCTGTGACGCAGTTATGTTCGCAAAAAGAAAGGGTACGCATTAGGGAACTACAACGTCGCAGAAGTGTCTCTGGGCGTCGGGGATTGCGCGACGATCTCCGACTGACCACTCTAAGCTCAGGTCTACAACCAAATCTGATCGCTCGGTGCGTCGCAAAATTCATCAAACTGCCACAGATATTCCTCTAAGGCAGATATCCAACCAGGGTTGCGATAGCAAGCGCCATAATGCACCGCGACTCTGACTCAGTGCAGGAGAAGGAACGGGGTGGTTTTTAGTCAGTAAGAGTCTGACACTCCCTCACCCCACCCAGGGCGGTAAAGATGTGGAGCGATAAATTTTAATTAGTATCTATGTTAATTGTAAAATATTGGTCCAAAAGGCTACATGTAAGCTCACTCCTCTGAAAACTTGATTTGGTATTAGTCATTACTTGTTGTAACCTTTTATGAAAAAGCTTACGCAACTATCTACATATAGGTCCTTAGATAGGTACATATACAAACCAAACGAGCATGCCTAAATCGGTTGTTCTCGAATTTTGAACACAGTCTCTGTCTAAATCCAGATTGTGTGTGTGATTTGATTGTGT